GTTTATGCTAACAGGAACATGACCAACACGTCAGGCTAACAATCAACATATACCGAACCAAACCCAAAACAGTGACCAAGAAGCGGTGAACCAAAACAAACTGTGGATTTTGTGAGCCGTTCCACCCCTACTATATTTGGGCAAAAATGGTCGCCTCCAGATTCAGGGATCGCAATGAAAATTATTTTTATTTTTCTACTGATTAATGATATATTCATTAAATCACCACAAACATATCGATTATTCCTTGCTGACCAGACTTTTCCTTTAATCATCTTACCTTCCGTTTTTATTTCCTCTTTGGGTTTTTTTGCAGCCTTGCTTTGCCCTTTTCTCTTCTTAACCACCGGCTCCTCCGCTGCCTCCTCCTCTTCCTCTTTAATTTGAGCTGGAGCTCCATTTTGAGAGGCTTCTTTGTTGTCTTCATTTAAATTTTCTTTATTCAGAAAGGGGAAAAAAGAGACTTCAATCCAGTACAGCTTTGCAGAGATTATATGTGAAATAAATCAAAGAAAAATTAGGGAGCAAATTCTTTGAGAATGAAAAATAGTTAGGAATGTGTGAAATAATCTTTTAGCTCAGTTCAGGTTCAATTGAACAGAAAGCAGCTAACTGACCAACTCATATCTTTCCCTTTCTGCTCAGCTTAATTGCAAAATTTCTGGAGTGGATGAAGAGACATTTAAAGAACAGGTAAAGATTTGTGAAAATGGATACAAATCAGTGGTCATGCTTGCTTGTAGTGGGGGTCAGTATTGATATGCTGGTTTACCTCTAGAGAATAGTAGAACCATAGATCCTCGTTAGGAGGCGAGGAACCGTGCTAGGGTGGTGTGTAAATGGTCATAAGGAACTGAGCTCGGCACGGTTAACTGATCATTGTAGCTAATTCCGAACTCGGCGCGGATCGCTACCCTCTGATCGCGATCATAGGATATTCAGGGATTTCCCCCAGAACTTTTGTTACGTTTTTACTGTGGGGTTATGTATGACGTACGAGTATTAAGGCCAGGCTAGAGATTTTTTGCTTCTATATCGAGAATAAAGTCGTAACATTACGAGAATAAAGTCGGAAAATTACGAGAAAAAAATCGTTATATTACGAGAATAAAGTCGTAAAATTACGAGAATAAAGTCATAACATTACTAGAATAAAGTCGTAACATTACTAGAATAAAGTCGTAACGTTACGAGAATAAATTCGTAACATTAGTAGAATAAAGTTGTAACGTTACGAGAATAAAGTCATAACATTACTAGAATAAAGTTGTAACGTTACGAGAATAAAGCCGTGAGATTACTAGAATAAAGTTGCAACGTTACGAGAATAAAGTCGTAAGATTACAAGAATAAAGTTGTAACGTTACGAGAATAAAGTCGTAACATTACTAGAATAAAGTCGTAATATTACGAGAATAAAATCGTAACATTACGAGAATAAAGTCGTAACATTTCTAGATTAAAGTTGTAACATTACGAGAATAAAGTCGTAACATTACTAGAATAAAGTTGTAACGTTACGAGAATAAAGTCGTAACGTTACTAGAATAAAGTTGTAACGTCACGACAATAAAGTCGTAACATTACTAGAATAAAGTTGTAACGTTACGAGAATAAAGTCGTAACGTTACTAGAATAAAGTCGTAACATTAAGAGAATAAAGTCGTAACAGATACCAAATGAATTCTCGTTTTACCTTCTTTTACCGCCTGACAGCGAATCTCTCTCTTGTATTTGGTTGCAGGATTAATCTGGATCATTTTCTCCAGATCGACTTTGTACTTCCTGCCTGCACCAAGAGTCAGAGTAATCGTTTTCTTCCCAGACGAGACAGCAGATTCCAGCACGGAGCAGGCTGCATCTGGGTACACCTCCCACTGCCCGTCATCTCCTCTCCACTGCCAAACTGGGAACAAACAGGAGTCATGAGAGCTGCTACTACCTTTTCCTTGATTCATTTAAGACAAAATCAATAAGCTAAGATCCAAATAGAACAATTTAAACAGAAAAAGACAATAAATAAACAGCAGAACAAGAACAAAGCACAAGGGGGAGCCCTTCTCGCGGGTTCTATTCAAGAACCTTAGCGGATGGTCACGAGAACTTCTTCGGCTGCACCGGTGGGAGTGTTTATCTTCCAAAACAAAATGTCTGAGGCATCATACAAGACTTGTACTTCCCGACCTCATGGATCAACCTTTTGTCGTGGTTATCCATTTGTTATTACTGCTCGGTTTTTAAAAATGGCACGCCCCGGCACCGAATCAAGAAGGATGACCACACAGACAGGCGGAAAGGCAAACCGAGGACCAATCACAGCTGCTTTTTATCTGCACACTTCCGCTTGAGGTCTGCACTAGTTTGCGATTTTCCGACGTGTAGTCAGGGTTTTTTTGAGGTGCGCAACGACGGTTGCAGAACCTCTGTGCGGGGGGCGTGGTCACGCACAGAGATAGATGCATGCGTGGAGCCCATAGAGCAAAACACTATCGGCACATGTTGTTTCAAGGAAGTCATGTGACCGATACAGGAGTTGTTTCTAACTGACTGACTCACTAAACTGTGTTTTAAAATGAATCTGTCAACATAATGCATCTGCTAAAAAAATTCTCATCTTTTGCGGTTTATTATTAAAATGATCAAGAATTTTGGAGCAGCCTAAAAGGAATAGGAACCTTTCAGCCGTTTCTTGTTGTGCCTTCCTGTTCCTCAGTCATCACTCAAGTTATTGGAATTAAAGTTTATTTCAAATTGACTCTTAGTATATTTACTGTTTTTACTGTACTTACTGTTTTATGATTTTAATTTTAAATGTGATTTAAAATCCAAGGCCACAACCATCCTCATTCACATTTACCCCTAATTTTTCTAATTATAATATATGTTTACATTATTTATTGGCTCAATTTAAATATAGATATGAAATAATACAATATAACCTACAATAACATAAATTATATCATTGTACTAGGTCAGAGGTCGCGGATCCGGACCCACCTTCTGGCTAATCCGGACCCAATCTGATTTTAAACATTTATAAATGACCGCATGTTGTTCAACGACAGGGTCTAACTTCACATGCGCTGTTCTCTGGTTAATATGGTAAAGCCCTCTGGAGCGTCCGGCACCAGGCTACAAGTGATACAAATTAGCCAATTAGCTGCTGTCACTTCAAACGGTCAGTTCAGGTGTTTTATAAAAATATGTGAATCACAAAATTTGTCTAAATAGCAAACTGAAAGATTGTTGTTCTGTACTTCAAAAAAAGTTTTTTCAATATATACTTTTATTAGATACCCAATGTATAACATAGATGTATAAAAACTTGCTTTGTATTTAAGTTTTATATTCTGTTTAAAGTAACAGATTATAATTAAATTGTCTCCGGACCTTTACAAGTTGTTGATTTTCTTTTTTCAGACCCCGCTGATTTTTAATTGCTTACCCCTGCACTACGTCATCAAATCAATTCAGTTTAGTCTGTATGGAGGACCAACTCTGCCATATTTAAAAATCAATACAGAAATAAACAAATGCTCAATAAATAAATAAGCATACAATTAATTGGTGCCGCGGTCCTCTCAAGTTCAGAACATTTTCTTTTAAATTACGCATTAAATCTGTGAATGGGCTATATGGAGATGCTTAAAAGTATAATGTTGTTGCCTCAGATAATCCTAAAATGTACTTTTATTGAACAACAGCAACAGAAAAGAGAACATTTAACTTAATACTCTGAGCTCTGTGAGTTAAGATGGACCGCCAAGCCAACCAATGAGCAGAAGTTGATTCTCTAGGAAACACCCCCTCCTCATTTGCATAATAAGGCAGAAATGCATAGAGAAATGTAAAAAGGGCAGACAGAAATAAATAGCGAAGGAAGAAAAGAAATAACTAAGGTAAAAAAATACAAAGGAACAATAAACAGACAAAAATATTATAACATGCACACAAATAAATACTTAAAAATATAAGTAATTAAAAAATAAAGTTGAAGAGGACAAAAAGACAAATAACAAAAAAATAAATAAGGTAAATATTACAAATGCAAATAAATAAAGAAGCTAATTAAAAGAGTTATATACATTTATGTCTCACTGTATAATTTAATTTCAACCTACATTTATTTGTTTATTGTATTTTTGGTAGCAATTAATTGTATGCTTATTTATTTATTGAGCATTTATTTATTTCTGTATTGATTTTTAAATATGGCAGAGTTGGTCCTCCATACACTACGTCATCAAATCAATTCAGTTTAGTCTATCCGATAAGCTGCCTGTAGTTTCTGAAAATGTCCAATAGGTGTCAGTATTCTGTGAGAGAGTATCAACGCAGCATCAAAGCAGTTTGGCTATCAGTCGAAACGCTTCAAAGATGCCTCATTAACCCATCACTACTCGTCACAAGTCCCTGATATTGATCTGAGGGAGCTTTCTTTCAAGCTTCTACTATATGGACTTTAAGTTGACTTTGTATAAACCCTTCAGAGTCAATAGAGCAGTAATAAATGACTCTGCAAACTCTACTGCTCCCTAGCCTTGTGTTACTGGCTCGCTGTTCTCTGCCCGGACATGTTTAAATGCAAACATAAACTGGCCTAAAAAAAAAGCACAAACCTTTCTTTTCCTGGACCTCATCGCTTTCGTCAACGCTCTGAGTTTGTTTCCTTGAACCTCTGGTTCTCCTCATAGTGTTCCGCGGTAAATAATTTAGTTAACTAAAAACCGGAAGCGGAGGGGCTAACACAGAGCGGGAAGCAGACACTGCTGCTAAGGATGGTAAAGATCGTTTATAAATACAGATGGTTCACACCCACATCTCTTTCACAGTCAAATGACACGCACGTTGCATTGTGTAATCTCCTAACTTGTATAAATGTATATATTATTTAATGTCAGCTAACAGAACCCCATTCAAATCAATTATATAACCGCACTAGTTTCTCATAGAGTTAACCGTAAGATTGAATGAGAAAGAGTGGGCCCTCTTCGTGTTTTCTTTTACGGTAGGAACAAACATTCTCGTTAAGAGGTTCCTCCTTAGCCGTTGATCGGACTTATTTTGCTGTGACTCGGCCCTTGCAGAGTGTGCTTTACAAAAGCGTGGATAACACTGTTTAGTTTAACGCAATTTAAGTCTGTTTTTTGTGACACAGAGGACATGGCATCGTGGAGCTACGGGGCCTGTTCCCTCTGTCAGCGGCTGGCGGCGGTGAAGATGATGATCAGGGTGGGTGAAGTTAGTGGGTGTCATTGAACGCAGCATGTTTACAGTGGAGGTCAGATGACAGGATTAATGAAACAGTTGCCTTTTAAACACATTTTACTTTTTATTTAATTGTCATTTACCCTCTTCTGTTTCACCTGGCTAGTTCTACACCCGTCTTATCCGTGTATTAGAGATTATAAATGTAGGACTTTATAGTTAAAATCTGTAAGATTACATTTTATTTTCCTGATCCAATAATTATATTACAGTTTTTTATTGTTATTACACTGTCACAAGTACAGGGCAGCGAAAAGAACCTTTAACATTTAACCCATCCCCTTGGGGAGCAGTGGGCTGCCATTGTGGGGCGCCTGGGGAGCAGTGTGGGGTTCAGGGTCTTTGCTCAGGGACCCAGAGTGGCAGTCTGTGGGAGTGGGGCGCTAACCACCAGGCTTCCACTCCCCTCCAAAAAGGGATAATTAGATCAGCATCAATCCATTGTATGGTTTTGTTAATTTATGAGTTTGCTGATGCATTAATGACTAGGCTGGGTTCAGTTAAAGTGTTGGAACCGATCATTGGTACCTTTTTTTTTTTTTTTTCATCCAGACTGTGAGTGCAGCAGCTCAAGCAAAGCCGAAGGCAGATTTCCTGAAAGGAGAACCTCACAGGAAGCACCCAGGAGTGACAAACCTGAAGACTGTGCGGCTACCCGAAGAGCTCCAGGTGGCTGCACAGTCCATTATTCACAGTAGGTTTACTACTACGCTACTACGGTACTTTATGTGTGTTGGTGAACTGCTTTATTTGCTTAACTACCTGCATTTATCACTTTTTAATCTTAACTCGCTTTTATTCTGATTTTATTTTCATTCTGTTATATTTAATTAGTGTAAATCACTTTGAATTTTCTTATGTCCTTCCTAATATGTGTCTTGCCCTAACTTACCTTACACCTTCTTTATCCAGCAGTTGGACAGATTCCTTTCTCACACATAAGTCTTATGTTTCCATATATAGAAGCACAAGTGCCACAGCTTCCAGAGCGCGTTCAGAAGCTCACAAACTTTCTTTGGAGCCGGAAGCGAGCGGTTGAAGATTTGACCCTGAGGCAGAAAGCTGTGAGCCTGGAGAAGGAACTCTGGGAGAAAGCCATGCAGAAGATCGGAGGTGAAGGATTGAGGCCATTTTATGATCTTACTGCATGCAATTCCTTAACTTAACATTCACCTAATTTTGGGAAATTCTTGCCTATTTTGCACACCCAAATGGAAAAGCAAATAACTTAGGAACTGTCAGCCCAAATTACATGTGCAATACATTATTTGAAAGCTAATACACTCTAGTTCTGATATATAAATTAAAATTGTGTGAGTAGAACACAGACTAAGCTGCATCGGTTCAAACATGAATCAAAGTTGGGGGGTTTTATTCTCGAAAATGATGGGTCTTTTTTGCAAAGCAGTAATAAAGACATGAAAAGGCAGGTCTCATTGTATTACATTTGTTCCACATCATGTCAACCACAAATGCAGAACATTTCAGACCTCTAGCTACAATATTTCCAGAGCTGTGGGGCTTTGAACTTTTGGCGTCTCCAAAAATCTCCAAATGTGCCAAATGCTTTTACTATGCTTTGCTTTACTATTTGACCCATAGAATAACACTGAAGCATTTTGATGGCCACTTTTTTTCAGAACAAGTGTATATAACAAAATGTAGAATTTTTACACCTATAATAACATAAAAATCTATAAAAGATAGGGAACCTGCTGGTTTTCAAGCTAAAATAAGCCCCAGTTCCTTTTCTGAGCTGTATTTAATTTTATTTTTTAGCCTTAGGTATTGTAATAAAGTAAAATCAGCGTCCCAAAAAAAAAAAGGGCCGTTATTATTCAGCTTGGAGCTGCGTGCATTGATCCAGCTGCAGCTGTCTGTGTCTCTCTAATGCAAGCCTGTAAAATTGTTCCCCTTTAAAGAAATAATCTTACCCCTTGTTACATTCCTTATATTTTAGGTGGTATTTTAACACAATGGACAAGATAATTAAAACTTGACTCATGAGGGAAAATTATTAAACAATAAAAATACTACATTGTTAATAATGACAATTCTATCTGAGCATCTAAAAGGCTCTTTCAGTTTAGTTATTTTAGAAGTCAATTTAGGGCACTAATACAACAAAATGTAAGCCACAAGTTTTAAGCATTTTTTTAAAAATAGGCCTAATTTCCCTTAATCTTACTTGTATGTGTAATTTTGTGTCGCCTTATTGGCTAAAATCCCAATAAAAAATTATATTTTTGTGGGAAGGAAGACTTTTCTAAAATTGTTTAGTCTGACGACCTTGGAGGGAGGAGAAGGAGGAGGAGGAGGCATTAACTGTGATATTTTTGCAGATTTTGATGAGCAACTGCTGGAGGATCGCATCAGGAAGAAAGTGTTGTCGGAGCTCAGAAGAACCACGTATCGCTGGACTCCCTTGAAGTAACACAGCAAGCATTCGCCTTGATCTTTGTGCCGCCGCATGTCGTAGCTTCAGTAGATAAGTATGTCCACCCTGGTTTCAGGTACGAAGAAGAGCTGGGCGTGGTGTACATGGCGGCTCGGCTGGCTGGAGGCTATGCAGCAGTGAGGAGAGCTCTAAATGAGGTAGATTGAACAGGACAACACCTCATTTAACTGATTGAACCAGTTCTGAATTTATGTTCTACTGTTATTATCCTTTTGTTTTTTAGATTAAAAAGAGGGATCCTTCATTTGCTCCTCACTCCCTCCTGGATTTCGGCTCCGGCTTAGGAACCGTCGCCTGGTTCGTTAGAAAAGAAAACTAAACCTTTGTCTGCATGAAACACACCAACAGCTTGTCGATTGTCTCCCTCCTGTCTGCAGGGCGTCGCATTCATGTTGGGGCGACTCTTTGAAGGAGATGGTGTGTGTGGACAGCTCTGCACCGATGAACGTTTTAGCTGAGCGACTCCTCAAAGGTAAAAGGATGAATTTAAATTCAAGTCTTTTTAAGCGACGACTGTTTATTGGTCTGCTTTGCTCTGCTTTGCAGGCGACAATGAAAGAGCCAAACCTCACATCAGAAATGTCTATTTCAGACAATTTCTTCCCGTCTCTCCAAAGGTACATGTTTGTCCCAGAAAAACCCAAACCAGGCTGTCGCACTAACAGATCTCTTGATTAGACAACTACTTTTTGGCCCACCTAG